ATACTGGTCTGGCATGTATACTACATCGTTTTGTGTCGGTTTCGTGGTTTCGTGTGGACGCAGATATTTCTTGAGACGAGGGGAAAAAAAAAAGATCGGATAGGGAAAGCTCTGGCTTCGTGTGGACGTAGCCTTATTAAAGAGAGTGTGTCCTCACAACGGCCTAATCTAAATTGGAATCCACCTTGTATTTTTGACAGAAAGTAAGCTATTTCTGGTGAATGTGCTAGCCTTCCAAGAAGCTGCTCGAAGTATAAATAACGAGGATAAAAGTGAAAGCGGTAAACGGCAAATGTATTTGCACTACAAACCAGTGTGCTTATTACTATAATTTAAATAATATGATAACAATTAACAGTTTGCAATATCAAGCAAAATAATGGACTGTGTTTGTACAGCTAAAATAACTAGAAGCTGATGACAGTATGACACCGGAAGTCTTGCACATTCTATCAGAAATGTGAACGCTCTTATGGTTAAAAATAAGGTGGATAATATAAATCCAACTCAGTTTAAAGTCTAAGCTAAAGACTGTAGATAATGTATAAAGCAGATAATCTATGTAATCCATGACATGTTACATTGATAATTGTAATAATACATTGATTAAACATATATTTGAGCTGGTAGCATGTCATTATGAATGTTGCATCATAACCACTAAATGTACTTTAACACAGATCTTTGACCGGAACTGAAAGATAAGTGATTAAGAAGCTGCAAGATTTATTAGTGTCCTTTGGAATGAAATGCATTACATGTACTGTACTACACTGAAGACAGAAAAAAAATGTTCAATCAGAAATTGCTAGTGAATTTCACAAACAATTACAAGAAAATGGCAAGTACGGTAACACATTAAATAAAAACAGATTTTCTTTTTTAAATAGAAAAACTTTTTTTCTTGTACAACATGCTCCAATAATGTGTTTTATTTACAACTTAAAAAAAGAATTTTTAACAGTATAGTCAAAGGTTTGCAGCCCAGTTCAGATTTTAAGTCGCATTTTTCTGCAAAATTTTTTTTTTATCACTGTCTGAAAATATATATTTTTTCCATTTACAGCAAGTAATTTATTGTACTTTTAATTTACAATATTAAGCCAAGTTCATGGCTTTGATTCCCAGGGAATGCACAAACTGATAGAATGCATACCATCTCAATAAACTGAATAAAATGCATGATAAAGACAAAAAAAAAAGGATGAGGGGGAGAAGAGGATATTCTCTATCAGTATTTCTCACATGAAAACAGAAAAATGAGAGAGAGAAAGCTAAAGAAAGGAAAAGCCACAAGTTCAGTGAACAAACAAAAAAGCAAAAACAGAACAAAGGTTTCATGCTAGACGAGAGACCTTTTTGTTCTTGCCATTCAATCCTCTGCTTTCTGATCTAAAATATGGGTCAAAAATCATCTGAGACCAGCTTGTCATTCTTTAACAGTGTTCGTGAGCTGAGCACGGTCAGCATATTCAATTAACAAGACGGCTCGTGACTGCAAGGCCTGTTGGCTATAATTAAGAGAATATTTGAAGGATAGCAAGAGGAGTTCCTTTCCTTTACCCTTTGATTCAGTTCAGCACAAACCCCCACCCCAATTGCCACACTCCCTACCCCATAATTCCCCTCTATTGTTTTCCAAAGCCATAAAATGTATACGAACTTAACTAGAACAAAGTCTTTGAGTCTATCACGGTTTTGACCCCCATGATCCCTGACTTTCATCAATAACCACTCAGCTTTAAACCATCAATTATCATAGGCAGTTAAACACACCCCCACATGAACCAACCAATCAGATGGCCTCCTTGGCATTCACTCCCCTCCCCTCCCCTCCCCTCAGAGTCTGGTTAAACAGGGTATGGCCACTTCAAGCACACTATGTTCATGCATGAACACAAAACACACGTAACAATTTGAGAAACGTGAAATAATAAAACTCAGCCAAAAGGGTGCTTTTCATTTTAAACCTCATGCATGCATTAGAGCTATACCTCAAGGGCGTTTAAGTACAAAAATAACGTTTTAAACAAGTTAGTAGACCCTTTCACTCAAAACACACACATACACACATATACGTCAGATTAACAATCAGATACTGGTATCATGCATCTTGTAGGGTAAAGTTTAGCTAGTAGAGACTTTCACACTGTGCATATTTACTTGAAGTCCTGTGCTGATGTAATCACTCATTCTGGTGAGAGATTGACAGAGCAGATATAGATGCAATAAAATGGATCTGCATGGATATCTTTTGTTCAACATCATTATTCTCACTTTGTTACTGATCTCTAAATATATTCAACATTCCGGTTTAACAAATGACTCAGAAATGCTTGGTGTGACCTTGCTTTTGTGGTCAAAGGTGATGGCTACAGGGTATGGCCACTTCAAGCACACTATGTTCATGCATGAACACAAAACACACGTAACAATTTGAGAAACGTGAAATAATAAAACTCAGCCAAAAGGGTGCTTTTCATTTTAAACCTCATGCATGCATTAGAGCTATACCTCAAGGGCGTTTAAGTACAAAAATAACGTTTTAAACAAGTTAGTAGACCCTTTCACTCAAAACACACACATACACACATATACGTCAGATTAACAATCAGATACTGGTATCATGCATCTTGTAGGGTAAAGTTTAGCTAGTAGAGACTTTCACACTGTGCATATTTACTTGAAGTCCTGTGCTGATGTAATCACTCATTCTGGTGAGAGATTGACAGAGCAGATATAGATGCAATAAAATGGATCTGCATGGATATCTTTTGTTCAACATCATTATTCTCACTTTGTTACTGATCTCTAAATATATTCAACATTCCGGTTTAACAAATGACTCAGAAATGCTTGGTGTGACCTTGCTTTTGTGGTCAAAGGTGATGGCTATTTGTTCATTCATAACCTGTTTTTCAGACTCTGGATACATAGTGAGTCTCTAAACATTCCTGTACGTGACACACTCAATAACACTAGTTTCAGTCTAATAGTGACATGTAATATGTGGCAAATGTCATTATTTGGCAATACCAGACTGCCGGACTCTGGAGTATTATAATTTACTCTGTATTTTTATATAACTCTATCAAAGATCATTCTGCATTATTACAAACTATTGTAGTTTAGTACCCCCACTAAAACAAGGGAGGTGACACTGTAATTGTACAGGGTGTTGACAAATGTTTTATAGAACAGTTTAAGTCTGTTTAAATATCTGATCTCACAAGAAACTATACAACAAGGATGTTTACCCAAGAAAGATGATACTGTAGACTGCAGGAAAATAATAAACATAGACCTTTCATTCTCTGTTTTACTCAGTTTTTAGCTACAACCAGAAAATAAATGAAATGATCTGAATAATATATGAGAATAATAGCAGCTTGTATTAAACATTATATGTGTAAATATATTAATATATAAATAAATGTAGCATATATAATATGTATAATTACATATTAAATATACACTTTTAGTTTAAATATGTCTATAAGACACTCACCTCCTTAGTACTCCAAGCAACAGGCAGGACATCTTTGGTTCAAGTGAAAGTGGTGGAGTAAACAACCGAAATTATGATAAAATAAAATAAAGCAATATGAGAGGGGTGGCTTGTTCCTCTTCAGTCCTGTGCACCTCTCATATCAGACTGGTGAGTGTGATAGTCCAGCTCTTGAGGTAGACTAGAGTAAAGTAAGACCCTTGCACTGTAACACGTGTAACTTATCATCAGCTGATCCCACCCTCAGCTCAGATCCTGCTCTAATAACGACGCTCTTCTCCCTGCGAACCAGCCTGAGGTGTTTCAATAATAAATAAAGCTTTGTACTGACAAACTTCCTATTCGATTAACATATATTAAAAGTTCAATGTTTTCCTATAATATGCGTGCGCTTCCAATAAAACACGACAAAGTGGGAAAACTAGCTGTTGCATTTCAGTCAGAAAGCTCTAGATTGACGTTCCTGAGTCACTGAAGTCATTGAAGAAGTCATTCAAATAACGTAGAGTGAATCGCGAGGATTCAGATCAGTTCGCTGTCCGCCGGCTGACGCAAGCGCGCATTGGTTCCTGTAAACGGTTCCTCGGAGGACTCGCTGTGCTCCGTCCCGGTTTCCTGCTCGACGCCGGCTGCAGAACACAGCTGTGTTGAAGTGAACCTTATTTTTAAAGCTTCTTTAGCGAGCTCTGAGGTCACGTGAGCGTCGTCGCGCGCTGCTTCGTGTCAAGTCAGCAGACGTTGATTAAGTTGAGTGTGGACATATGTAAATGAAAAGCAAAAAGCAAAAGTCAAGAAAAGCAAAGTCACAACAAGCATTGTAAGGCGGAAGCTTACTGGGTCTCGGTGACGTCGCTCCATTCATCATCACAGCTGCTGTGAGTGTAGGGCTCGAGAGACATTTAAATGGCATTCATAAATGTAAATATGGGGGAAATAAGCCTTTGTTTTCTGAGTTTAGAAATTCAACAGTACCTGTTCAACAGTAGGCTAGCTAAAACTATTAATTTGGAAAGAAATAAGAAAGCTGTATTGTCTGTAAACATGTAGTTTTTATTTCATTTATTTTATTCTTAAAATCGTAATCAAAAGATACATTTAAATGGTCGTGGAGATTAATTAACTGGTAATTATTTGAAATAATATAGATATAATAATGTGTCTGGTTATTTTGCATTCTATGTTTACTAACGCTTGATTTTTATTAAAATTAAAAGATTTAAACGTTTTCTTTTTATTTATTTGAAGGTCACATTAAAAGTTACAAAGAGTGTATCAATCATCAATTATTTCTATATTCAATAGTTCATTTCGGTATTTCAGTATACACTAGGCCTACCTGTCAAAACATCAAAACTTTGTGGTCTGTAAGATTTTTAAAAATGTAATGTACATGTAATGTAATGTAATAATGTGAAACATTATTACAATTTAATAATAACTGTATAAATACATTTTAAAATGTAATTATTCCCTGTGATTGCAAAGCTGAATTTAAATGTCAAATGTCACATGATCCTTCCGAAATCATTCTAATATGCTGATTTGGTGTTCATGAAACATTTTACCAAATAGCATTTAGATGATTTCTGAAAATTAAGCTTTGCCATCACAAGAATAAAATACACTTTAAAATATATTAACATAGAAAACAGTTCTTTTAAATTGTAATAAGGATAACAAAGTATTTGTCTTTGTGAGAAATTCAAAAATATTTAAAAATGTAAATTCCACCACAGAATGTTAGAAGAAACAATACATTACTTACAATCTAAGAAGAATGTAAAAAATAAATAAATAAAATCTGACTGGTCCATTAAAATGACCTTGAGCAGCAATAGCAAAAATGGCTCAGTGGAATTAATTTAGTTTAGAGAAAAGCTCTAGCATTGTTTGTTTACAGACTGCCACTTGGTTTGATATTTTACTACAACAATAATATTTAGACATTTTGAAGTTTATAAATACTTTATGGACCCAGTGTAATGTTGATTTGTCAGTGCACACACAAACCACAATTGTTGTATTTGCTGCATGGTAAACAGCATGCAAAGTCTCAGTGCACTGACTGTGACCTTTGAGTGAGAACGTGAGCGAGGGCAGGAACACTGAACAGGCTAAAGATTACAGTGTTTGTGAGAGAGAGAGGCAGATTAGAGGAGACTGGATAAAGATAAGATGAAACGCCGTTGTGGTTAGACTTTAATCTGTGTGAAGTAACAGATCAACAAAAGCCCAATGCCCCACCACTCATTATGCCATTGTAAACACATCTAGAGTTAAGATGAAATAATAAAATCATGCAGTATTGTGATACACAACATATTTCTTGTGAAAGCTACTCCAGGGTTCTTGTATAGTTTATGGGGGTTCAAATCGAATGTATATTGAGGGTGGTGAACTGTTGAAATGTATTCGTATTAGTTAAATTTTTACACTTTAAAATGATTTTTTGAAGTTGTAAATAAAACAAACATTATTGGAGTGTGTTTTTACCAAAAAAAAAAACAATTTGTGAAATTTACTAGCAATTCCTGAGATTGTTTGGTAATGAAAATTGTATTGTAATGAATAATGAATTTGTTAAATGACTGTGCTTGTGATATCAAGGATCATTCTTACGTTCATTCAATAACACACACACTCTATGTTTGATGAGAAAAAAGAACTTTGCCCTTTGGACTGTGCAAAAACAAAAACATGCATTGCATGGGTCATTTCAACCAATAATTACTATAACCACATGAAATATATCAAAAATAACATATACACATTGAATATGTTCCTGAAAGAAATGGTTCCTCCAAAAATGAAAACCTGCTTACCTTATACTTATAAACAGCTAATAAAAACATCACAATAATCCACAAGTGAAAACAGTCCAAAACAGTTCTAAACAAATATGTTGGTGTATTTTGATGTGAGAAGACAACAGGGGATGGTCTTTTTCACTGGAGTAAGTATTGTTATGGATTATGAACTCATATTTTGACCAGAAGCAATGATTTAAAGTTAAAATGCCTTAATGGTGGATTTGTTTCTCACAGACATGCAGATTTTCACTTCAAAAGATGTTGTTTGGTGGACTGGAGTCGTGTGGATTACTGTAATGTTTTTATGAGCTGTTTGGACTCTCATTCTGACGGCACCCATACACTGCAGAGGATCCATTGATGAGCAAGTGATGTAATGCTAAATTTCTCCAAATCTGTTCTGATGAAGAAACAAACTCATCTACATCTTAGATGGCCTGAGGGTGAGTAGATTTTCAGCAAATTAGATTTTTTTAAGGTGAACTATTCCTTTAATTCAGTTTGACAAGATCAAGGAGACATGCTCAGTCCTTTGATATGCAAACAACCCCTAAACAGTGGTATTCTGTTTCATCAGTGGATATCTATGATGGAATGAGCGGAAAGTCAATGAATAAACAGTGTTTCAATGATTAGATCTAGTGGTCTGCACATAATTGCAGTGTACTCTGGTATTTGTATTATGGGAAACAGCATGCAGTGTTCTCTTTCTCTTTCCTTAGGTGTTGCCTCTGTCTTTTGTTGATACCATAAAGCAACCTTTAGGAATAAATTAGGCAGTCTCTTGCATAAAGGATTGCACAGACTACTGTTTTTCTCTGTCGGTTATAGATGCAGTGGTGCTCGTGTCTTCTAGGCCTTTGAACGACTGATGTAACTGATCAGAACATGATACATGTGGTAAGCCTTTGCTTTGGCAGCATATGAATGTGTTCATATGAAAACATTTTGAGAGCAAGATCAATAAAGATATTTAGGGGGTGGACTAATTGGTTAACAATATGGCAAAATAATGTTTTAACACAGTGAGTTAAAATAAATGTTCCAAATTTTGTTTAAACTTTCATTTTCAAAAATGTATTACACGATTTAATAAAGTTGCAAACAAATAAGCAACACTAAGGCCACAGGTTCAATTCCCAAGTAACACACAAACTTGAATATACAGTGGGTACGGAAAGTATTCAGACCCCCTTAAATTTTTCACTCTTTGTTATATTGCAGCCATTTGCTAAAATCATTTAAGTTAATTTTTTTCCCTCATTAATGTACACACAGCACCCCATATTGACAGAAAAATACAGAATTGTTGACATTTTTGCAGATATATTAAAAAAGAAAAACTGAAATATAACATGGTCCTAAGTATTCAGACCCTCTGCTCAGTATTTAGTAGAAGCACCCATTTGATCTAATACAGCCATGAGTCTTTTTGGGAAAGATGCAACAAGTTTTTCACACCTGGATTTGGGGATCCTCTGCCATTCCTCCTTGCAGATCCTCTCCAGTTCTGTCAGGTTGGATGGTAAACGAAAAATTTAAGGGGGTCTGAATACTTTCCGTACCCACTGTATAAGAAGATACAAGATACACAAAGAAGATACAAGAAATATTGTATAGGACAATGGCGCCATCAGTCCCGTTCAGTGATTTTAGTTTTGGGTTAAGCCAAAAATCGCAGAGTGCCAAATCTGGGCTGCGGAGGGATAGCGGTTTACCCGAGCATTGCAATTCATTCACTTTCGCAAATGGCTTTCCCAACTCATTTATGCGCACGCGCGCAGCTTAGAGGGAACATTGGTCCTGAACCTGAATGACTCCACTGTTGCTCAGTGCTGTTCATGATGGTAAGTGCAGGAGAGTTTCTCCTGAATTCCACTAACATCTCCACTGTTTTGAACATGTTCAGCTCTAGGTTGTTGTGACCGCACAACTGGAAGCTGGTGATCCGCTGACGGATGGAGATGGGCACAGAGAGCTGGGTTCATTTGTAGAGGAGGAGGTTAGGGATGATGGTGTTGAAGGCCGTGCTGAAGTCCACAAACAGGATCCTCACGTAAGACCCTGGTTTGTCCAGACGCTGCAGGATATAGTGCAGTCTCATGTTGACTGCATCATCCACAGACCTGTTTGCTCAGTAAACAAACTGCAGGGGGTCCAGCAGGGGTTGAGTGATGTCCTTCAGGTTGGCCAACACCAGTCTTTCAGATGACGTCATGACCACATATGTTAAGGCAACAGGTCTGCAGTCATTAAGTCCTGTGATTTTGGGTTTCTTTGGGATGGGGATGATGGTTGTTGAGCCTTTGAAGCAGGAAGGGACGTCGCACAACTCCAGTCATCTATTGAAGATCTGTGTGAAGATAGGGGCCTGCTGGTCAGCACAGGATTTCAGACAGACTGGTGAAACAACGTCTGCGCCTGGTGCTTTCTCTCATCTCATATTTTGCATATCGCATGTCTGAACTGGACAGCCCTCAGATGTATATTTTTTAATTATAAAATATAGAAAAAACATATGAGCCCGGTTTCTCCCAAAGTTTTTTTCCATTTCTGTCACCGATGGAGTTTTGGTTCCTTGCCACTGTTGCCTTTGGCTTGCTTGGTTGGGGACACCTAATATTTGGCAGTATTGTTGACTTGATTGCAGACACTATTGGAAGAGAACTGAACTGAGCTGGACGATGACATCACTAAATGAACAAAGAACTGACTTGAACTGAAAAGCTGACTTGTTTTCTGTTGTCCTCTTGCATTATCAACACACCTTTTTCCTGTTTAACACTGTAAAGCTGCTTTGACACAATCTGTATTGTATAAAGTGCTATATATATATATATATATACAGTGCCGTGAAAAGGTTTTTGCCCCATTCCTGTTTTTTTTTATTTTTTTTGCATATTTGTCACACTTAAAAGATTCAGATCATCAAGCAAATTTTAATATTACACAAAGATAACCCAAGTAAATACAAAATACAGTTTTGAAATGATGATTTCATTTATTAAGGGAAAAAAAGCTGTCCAAACCTGCCTGGCACTACGTGAAAAAGTAATTGCCCCCTAAACCTAATAACTGGTTGTGCCACCCTTTGCATCAACAACTGCAATCAAGCATTTGCGATAACTGGCAATGAGTCTTTCACATCACTGAGGAGGAATTTTGGTCCACTCTTCTTTGCAGAATTGTTTTAATTCAGCCACATTGGAAGGTTTTCGAGCATGAAAGGACTCTTTAAGGTCATGCCACAGCATCTCAATCTGACTTAAGTCCGGACTTTGATTTGGCCATTCCAAAACCTTAATTTTGTTTTCTTGAGCCATTCAGAGGTGGACTTGCTGTTGTGTTTGGGATCATTGTCCTGCTGCATAACCCAAGTCTGCTTGAGCTTGAGGTCACATACTGGAGCAATTAATTTTTCACGTAGGGCCAGGCAGGTTTGGACAGCTTTTTTCCTTTAATAAATGAAATCATAATTGAAAAACTGCATTTTGTATTTACTTGCATTATCTTTGTGTAATATTAAAATTTGTTTGATGATCAGGTCAAATAAATAACTGCAATATATCCCAAATACATTTATTTGTTTCATTACATTTTATTTCACTGGACTTTAAAAAAAATGTTTTTAATTTATTAGCAGTATTTTTAACACATTTCTGTACTTTAAAATACATGAAAAGCTAAACCGTATTTTTTGTAACATTTATATATTTCTATTTTAATATATATAGCAACAGGACAAGTAAGTAACTTAAATATATCTCAAATACATTTAATTTGTTAACTATATTTTTTAACTTAATTTTTAAAATTATCAATATATTAGCAATATTTTTGGCATTTTTATTATCTATAATTTGTTAATTCCTCATTCACACAATTGCTCAATCCAGTTTTTACAAAAAAAATGTACCAATGTGTTCTAACCACTGGTACCATATTGTTTTTTTTCCCCCTCTATTTTGTTCCTAGTTTAAAAGTTAGTAAAAAAAAAAAAAAAAAGAAGGACTTTTATTCTAGTTGGCAAAAC